TTGAGTGCGCACTATACGGTTGAGTGCCGTCCAAACTTTTAGTACATATCGTCTATTCAAATAACGTTAATTCATACAAAAATGACCATGTCAGCCAACTTACTGACCATAAAATGACCAACTTATCACCCGCAATCGCACTTTTTGACCATACACATTTATTAATGACATAATTAAGTTAATGAACATACAAATTAAACTAGCATTCCCAACTTTCCGTATCGAGAAATTCCTTCTTAGTAATAATTTTATTGACTTCTAAAAATAGAAATAAAAACAAATAGTTATCTGAGAATTAAAACTCTATTGTGCATGATTTTACCATGTTTATTAACATTCATAATAAATATCATGAGTTTATTGGCATTCCTCAAGAATTACTGGTTGGCAACAAACGGTATGTGCTGTTAATTACTCTCCAGTAGCAAGGTGATACTATGGGAATAGACGTACAGTAGGGCGTGACGTGGCTCGGGAACAGTTAGGAGCAGAGGCGCACAGATATGACCGTTTGCGGTCAACTAGCGATGTATGCCTTTAATAGTTTAATACAATATTTACAACACTAGTATTTCATGAATCAGGAATTAGTCATTAGTATTAATAATAAATTTTAAAATTGATATTAATTTTCATTACTTATAGCAAAATATAACTTATGTTTTGTGTTATGGATTAAATTATGTGTCAATACTTTACGATTCAATATTTCTAAACAAAGGGATAAATCATTGAAAGTTTACTTATTCACTAAAATATTTGTGTATGCTTAAAATCTCTTAAATTGGTATATTAATCATTTGAATATTATATTTTTCTTTAATAAATTTTCATATTATTATTCAAAATGAAAGTTATGTTTTCACAACAAATCTTTGTCACTTTTAAATCATAAAATATTAGTGTTTGGAATAGTTAATAAGTTTATTAATACTATAAAACACTAATTTGGAGATTTTAAAAATTTTGGACGCCTATGGTTAGGAGTGATAGGGAGCTCCCGTGGTGTGCGCTAACCGTATAGATAGCTAATGAAACGTATGGGCGGTGTTGGGTCAATAGCAATAGGAATAGAAGCCGCTACGGGCTGTACTATAATATGTATGACTGGAAAGTAAAAAGGCCTCTAAATATTTGTTTAGTGTGCCTAATATTCATACGAATAGTTAGTAAGCAATGTGTAAGGGGAAAACCTACAAATAGACTCAAGCACAAAAAGAAATACAAGTGTATAAAACTTTGGAGGCCTTTTTACTTTCCAATCATACATATATATATAATTAATTCACATTTATCAATCTAATAGTTAAAGCGCATATATACAGCAATATTATCGGCAATACTTATCCAACAGTTATACGACATTTCAACGGCTTATTTCAGCTATGAATACGCAATCAAAATTCACATGAAATCATACGAAACCGATAATAGCTATCCATTTATATCGCTTATAGTATCACAAAGATTATATATATTGAAGAAGGAAAAATGTATCTTGAGAATTAAAGATTATTGCTATTTCAACGCCACCCCAAAAGCGATACTTAATAAGCCGTTATACGACCAATTTTTTAGCCTTTATTGGATCAATTCAGTAAGTCAGCAAAAAATTAATTTTAGTAATTTGCCCTCGGTGGACACCTATTTTCCCAGAGTAATGGGCATACCGAATGACTACTTTATCAGGACCATATATTTGGGCGATGTGATAAATGAGCGTGTTGGCAAACGTAATTCCAAGTACCTCGCACGTATATACGAGTCTGTTAATGGTAGCAAGATTGAGCATATTAATTTTCACTCGGCCATTTATTCGTATACTGGTAACGCCGATATCACGCTATTCACGGGATTTAATCAGACAATTATTTTGTCGAAAACCGTATTTCAATCGTTACGTAAACCTCACGGAAACTGTAGTTCGTATGACGGCTCGCGTGCCGGCGATCGACCCTTCCGTGCCGTTTGCCATCGGAATTGTATGCGACGGTGTGTTCGCTATTATTATCGTAAAGTAGATAAAACTAATACAATGGGGTGTCAGTCGTTGCTCATTGATAGCTATTTACATGAATTAGATTTTTACGGAAATATATCGAAAGAGTTATGTTTTTATTTTGGTTTATTTTCAATACAATACGTCGACCTCGATACTAATTTGACAATAACAGCAAAATGTGTGAATTATTGTCCGAAAGACTGTATGACAGTTGCGTACAGGTCTCGAGTCGTGTCGAGTGATTCATATATTGGGAACAATTTGTGGCTTAACTTGAGTACCGATCGCATGGTTACCGAGAAGTCATTGGTCTGGGAGTCGAGTCAACCCGTGTTTGTCTACCGGGAAGAACCGGTTATGTCTTTAACAGACTATATGTCATATACTGGAGGACTNTTATCTAGCAAAATGTAACATAAATCATAATCAAATAATTCCAAATAAGGATATACTAAAAACACAAAGGTTGTCTAGACAATATAATATATGTCACTATATACTAGCATTCCCAACTTTCCGTATCGAGAAATTCCTTCTTAAATATAAAATGTTAATACATAAATAGATAAATGATAAGGGATAAAATTATCCTTTTTTACTTTTAGTATATGGGTTCCCATTTTTAACGTGCTGGCTAATTCGACCTAGCCAGGCACTTTTTACTTTCTCAAAAGCACGTAAGTATTTGTTGTTTCTGGAAATTTAATTAACTTGTTCAATTTTCAACACAAAATGTATATAGAAAACAGGTAGCACAAAACTCATAAATACATATATAATTTTAACAATACCTAAATTAAATATTCATTCAACAAATAAATAAACTGTATTCCATACAAATTAACAAGCTAACTTATTTACCCATTACCAATGCCGTAGGTAAGTGCTCTTTCGACCATGTCGGCGCAATGATTGGTGGTGCCCAAGTACATTTCACCTTTATGTCGCGCCCACCATTCCTTGATCCTATCGCACATGTCCTTGGTCAGATTTATTTCTAATGTAATGTCGGGATTTCCACCCTCAGCCTTACAGTCACCCGCGTATGTATTGGTGGTTGATTCTACGCTGGCTGAGCTCAGGTACTCGGCCTTCCCGTACTCATCCTTAGGCCAGAAGCTAATGTAAAACTCGTCGTTTAGCATAAGGGAACAGTGACCGACACCATGTCTGCCTGGCTCCCAAAAATAGACGTAGTAAGGTCTCGACTTTGTTAATACGTAAGCTAGCAAATTACTAATTAGACTAGCGAGGTGTGTTTTCAAATCACTAAATGAGGAACCTCGTTAGATTTCAGCAAATTGTGCCAGGATAATCTGTAATAACATAAACTATATGCTCATGCTCATACCATTTGAATTGATCAAACTTAGCGAATATTATCAACTAATCCCGTCAATCCAATTATAGTCACTGGTGACATATACATTTTGCATAGTAATATGGTTATATTTACGGAAAATATAAGTCTATGAATTCATATAATATATTCATAGATATGGGCATATAGTTTATGTTATTACAGATTATCATGGCACAATTTTTTGACACCTAACGAGGTTCCCCATATTAAATATATTATTAAATATTAGACAATTTATTTCTATAACATATTTTAGGTAGTGCGCTACTTTTATAGGCAGTTTATGGGCGTGATTTATTAATATTTTTGTGACTATCTAATTATAAATTTTATATTGAAATATATGTATGCTAGTATATAGTGACATATATTATATTGTCTAGACAACCTTTGTGTTTTTAGTATATCCTTATTTGGAATTATTTGATTATGATTTATGTTACATTTTGCTAGATAACAAGTGGTTTATATGTTTACTTATGTACATTATATTTATGCATTATTTTGGTAACATATTAGTATAATTTATAAATAATATATTTGTATTAAACAAAAAAAATTCAATTTAGTTAAATATCAATATTCACTGTGAATTAATTAGTTAGTTAATAATTAATTAATAGTTAATTGTTGACTTATATTTTACATATAAATTGCAAACATGTTTTATTTTTTCAACTATTGACATATTGAAACTATAACATAGCATGTTTATAATCCATTTGATTAGATAACATTTTGAATTTCAATGGAAAATAACCACTTATAGTATGTTGCAAAACCATGTTGAATAAAATAATGTATTTTGCAATCTATAAAATATGTCTATATTGATTTAGTAATTCTTTAGAATCAGAAATATTTTGCCTTGTATATTTCACTTCATATGAGCCTATTTGTAATTTGGCATAAACATTAATATAACTATTTTTAAAATTATATTCTTATCAGTTATTTAAAACTAGATAAACTAATAAAATTATAAATGGTCAGGATCTATTCCATGTCCAATACTTACATCTTTTACATGATTTAGTGAATATTAAACAAACAATATTTAAAAATTACAATCTTTATTACACTGAACAATTAATGACAATTATTTAGGTATTATATTGTATGTTGATAACATTTCAATTTTAATTTAATATTTATAATGTTTAATTTACTTAAATATAAAATGTGAATAGATAAACTGATAAATATTAATCGATTAAGTTAGCCTTTTTTACTTTTAGTATATGGATTTCCATTTTTAACGTGCTGGGTAATGCGACCTAGCCAGGCACTTTTTTCTTTCTCAAAGGCACGTAAGTCTTTGTTGTTTCTGGAAATTTAATTAACTTGCTTAATTTCTAACACAATTATGTATATAGTAAACATAGGTAGCACAAAACTCATAAATACATATATAATTTCAACAATACTTAAATTAAATATTGTATTTATTCCATACAAATTAACAAGCTAAACTATTTACCCATTATCAATGCCATAGATCAGGGCTCGTTCAACCATGTCGGCGCAATGATTGGTGGTGCCTGAGTACTTTTCACCTTTATGTCGCGCCCACCATTCCTTGATCCTATCGCACATGTGCGT